CTGTAACTTTACCCTCTTTGACGTGTCAGCTATGTGATACATTGGTAGCACTTAGGATTTAATATACGTCGCTTTTTATTGGCGTATTAAAAAACCGCGCCGCGCCGTTAAAGATCATGCCGCTAGTCATGCGCGAGGAGAGCTTAAAATACCGTGACGGGGATCATATACACATAGAGACTTGACAGCATTTTTATAAGTGCGTTATCGTGTACACTTTTGTCAGTTCGTTACTTAAAAGAGTCGAACCTCTGACTCGAAACTCTAAGTAGCCACTTCCTTCGCTCTCGAGAGATCTTAGAGAGAGATAGAGAGACTTCAGATTTCAAGCATCTACTATACTCTCATACAGATGCAGCCTTGCACGAATCTCGTCTGTCTGAAATACTCTTGGAACGTTTACTCTGATTTGCATATTCCTTAAAACATGCGGCCGGGGAATAACGCGAGAAACTATAAAATGCAGTCTGGAATGGAATACGATACTATTTCAGCAGCTTTACGATACTATTAATTGGCACAACGTTGAATAAATTTACGCGTGTATAGCAAAAAAATGTTAATTACTTCCTCAATTGGTACACTCTTGCGCATGCGGTCAGTGACTATAAACTTGTATTTATATTAATGCGACATCGTTTTAATGGTATATCACATCTGTTGCAGCAACTTTCGATTGCATCAATGCGAAATATCAGGTCTACTTTATGATAAATAGAACTGAGATAAAGCAACTTAATACATGTGCCGTAATTGTGTAATAAATTCGGGAATCGCTCGATTCAATCGCTGTTTTTTTTTCCTTTGTCTTGCATTAATCCAGCCCCCCGTAAAATAGAGAATAATCGCTCCTCTCTTTTCACCTCCTCAACATTTTTAGCGGACAGAGCCCCACGACTTTGTATTTTTTCCTCTCTGAAGATAAATCTGTCTGCCCGCGTGCCATATGTCGACTTGATCCTGGAAAGCGTTTTCCGATTTCTCGCGTGCAACAGATGGCCGGCCGGGTGGGGCGGTTCGTCCTCCTCTCGAAGGATCTGGAAATCCTATGAGAGCGATTTTTCATTCTTGAACATGTTTTCCGTAGCCACAAACTGGCGATTTGTATTATATATTGGCGTAACATTTTATATAGTTAAAATTTACAAACGAAATATATATCAGAAAGTATTGTTCTAACAATTTTTAAACTTAAACCTAAAATTTTTACCTTTTGTAATAAAAAAAATCTAACATAGGAGCCATAACGAAGAGAAAAGTTTATGGATACGAAAAATAACAGTTAGAAAGTCGGAAAAGAATTTGAATGTTTTTTAGATTAGAAAATGAATAAAATAATCAGCTTATCATGCGAACCACTCAAACAAATTCATTAATTGTCCGTTCATTAACGAGATCTAAGCAGGAACAATTTATCTAACGTGACTTTATCTAATATAGTGATTCAAACGTATCATAAGTTATTGGTAAAATAATTCGAATTAATGAATTTGAAAAACAATGATATAGTATCTAAGTTTTAACATCTTGAATATAATAGTTTTTGAGACTTACAATATATTAAGAATATAATTATATTTATTATATTATAAGAATATAATTATAATTAAGAATATATAATAAATATAAACAAGAATATCTTATATGTATAAATTTATTAAAGGAAACACGTTTTCTCTTTTTTATTTTAATATGCAATTTTAAAAAGTAATGAAAAAAGTTTCGAATCAATATAATTAGAAAGATATTCTCAATAATTTTATACATAGAATTTTTGAAAATTATTTTACGTATCATTAATGTTCATATAATATATATAAACTCCTACGAGTGTTTTAACGAATTCAGAAGAGGCAGAAATGACGCGACACATGATCGCGAAAAGAATGTATGTGGGAAGGGACGATCTTCTATTATAAATCATAAGGATGATTATGTTAAAATTCGCTAGGGTCAGCTCATTAGTTCGCGAAATCGTCCGGTTTCTCTTTTTATCTCGTCTTCCCAAGGCTATCTAGTCGGGAGGAGAAGGCGGTGGGGGGGCCGAGATGAACGGCGTAGAAAACAATTTGGACGTCCCATTTGAGACCCGGGTAGTGCCTTAATTAGTCTCACCGTAGCAGATTACCAATCAGCAATTCGGCAATTACGATGCGGTGATTTTTCAACCTGCTGACTATATAACATTCCAGATTCTTTTGGTACGAAGGTATACCGATAGGATATCGATACACGAAAACGCACTTTTCTTCATTTTCCGCTCGTTAGGCGTCGCATATTTCGAAAGTATCGAAATAAATATAAATGTAGAAAATATATTAATTCCAAAAATTTACTTCTATTTTTTTGCTACATGCGTTTTACAATTAAAGTAGAGTAAAATAAATAGTTAAATAAAGATGTCCTTTTTATAACACAATTAAATAAATCTTTGTCCATGAAACGATATACCTTATTAGAAAATTAATAAAACAAAAAAAAGAAACGAAAGAATTTTCAACTATTTATTTAGCAGCGCATAATAATAACTGTATACTATTAATATTAATAATAATAATATAACTGCATGAGTAACTCGCTAAAATATGGAATTGTCCGATAAGTTGATCGCTTCTTCAATCCGATACAATTAAAGCGAGAAGCACCCATCTATCCACGTGGAAACGAGAAAAGGAAGCAACCTATTCAATTTCAGCAAATCTCCCTCTTTCCTGCCCTGCGCTCTGCCCTCCCTTTCCCTTTTTAAGCCAATCCTTCGAAGGAAACTGTTAAATCTATTACGGCTGTAAAGCTCGATCACGATCACGTTCCGTGAAGAGGGTCGAGGCTCGAGTCTCGAGCGGCGAGTTGCATCTTAGTAAGAAGGAGGGGGATAAAAGGGAGAGACAGAGGAGTGTGTTTTGTAGTTTCGGTGGGCCAGGTCGCAGGTAGGCGGCGAGCGGACCCCTGAAATCACTCGAAAAATGAGGGGGTACACAGGCCCCCGTAAGATTTCCTTTTTTTTCTTGCTCGAACGCGATATAATCGTTTGTCCTCTCGTCGAGGGTGGACGTGGAAGAATGGCGGTGAAAGGGATGAAAACTGCGTGGCAGTTTGTCTCTGTAACTCTTTCAGTTTTGATAATTTCATTCTGCTGCACCTGGCCGCCGCTGATATCCTGTGGTCGACGTGTACACGTTTTAATACATCTAAAATTAACATTTACATAAATACTAATAATATAAAATATTAATTTATAATAATAAATTAAATTTTAAATTTAACTTGAAGAATTTCGATTGAAATTTGAAGAAATTAAATTTTGTTTATTTATTCATGGAAATGTTTAAATAATTTCTATATTAATATAAAATATATAAAGATGGTATTGATCGTGTCTCTGTTCTTTTCATGCACATTTCATTTCTTTCACAGAGATGCACCTACAATTCAGATTATTCCATGGAGTTATTTTTCTATCAATACATCAGTAATAAATTATACTGATAACATGTATTAGACAATAATAAATCCAAAATGAGATTCAGATGAGATTTGAGATGAGAATCAAATTTGAACTTTGGAAAATGTCAAAAAGATTTACAGTTTCGAAAAATTGTTTGTAAAATTTGACATTTTACGAAAACGAGCGAAGAGTGATGTAAGCAAAGCGGAGGATATGAGACAGAGAAACAAGCCAGAAGAATGGACTTTGTGTAAGTCCTTATCTGCAGAACGTTTATCTCCCTAGAAGAGAAGGGTCACTAAGACAAAGACACTTGATATATTTCGTGGAAACGCGTTATCGGAATATTAACGTTTCTCTTCAAGCGCACAGAGAAAGTGATGATACTATGGATATATAGATAGGAACAGAGGACATATTATCTTTTGTTTCTCGTCAGTCTTACGCGTGATTAAGCATCGAATTTAAAAAGGAAATCCCTTTTCCCTCCTTTCCCCTCATACACACATAATTCGTGATAAAATGATCCCTTCAATTTTATTTTCATGTTCAATCAGCACCTACATCTTTTTTTCGTTTTCTTAAATCTCAAAGTGTACATTTTTTACTAACTAATTTTATTTTTACTAACTTAAATTTATTATTATAACTTAAATTTTTCTTAAAGAATTGGAGATCTTCAATTACGTATATGAAATATATATGTACATTTTTTCATACACTTACAAGTAAACTATTTCAAGTGTCAGACGCCGATTTATTTCATACTTTGGATTTTGATTTGAGATACCAAAAGATGATTTTTTATATAAAAATTAATTGCTCAATATTAATAGTAGCGCTTATACACAGTATTTCATTTTTATAATAATGGAATAAAATATTCTAGAAATAACGCATTTCTCCCAAAAATATTTCAAACAAAAGTTGCTTGGTTTCAAAGAACATGTAAAATAGTGATTCATTTAACCCAGAAGTTCCTACAAAGGTCTTATTAACTAAATTTTTCATATAATATTATATGATTTTTTTTTACGTAATTCCTTTTTTCATTCTGTTACTTTATTCTGATGAAGATCACCATTTTACATGTATTTTGAAACCAAGCAACTTTTGTTTGAAACATTTTTGGGTGAAATGCGTTATTTTTGAAGTATTTTAATCTATTATAAAAATGAGATACCGTGTGTAAGCGCTACGGTTAATATTGAGCAATTGGTTTTTGCATGAAAAATCATCTTTTGGTATCTCAAATCAAAATCCAAAGTATAAAATAAATTGACGTTTAACACTTAAAATAGTTTACTCGTTAGTACATAATACCGTATAATTTTACACGTATATTTACTATTAAACTATTTACAAACAACCACATTTAAAACACTTAAATTTAGATCTATATACTCTTCGTGATTTTTACACTTGTCCCTACTTATTTCTATAAGAATACATTGTAAGAATCGAAGACGGCATGCGAGGAGTATTAAGAGGATAAAAAGAGTGGAAAAATGGAAAGTGCATAATATCTCTTCTAATTGATTAGAGAAAGTCAGTCTCGAATCGCTAAAATGTGCGGAGTAATTTTATCTCTGTAGGTATAACGAGCCAATCTTACAATTCTTACAATTAGTGAGTTTTCTGCAGTAAAAGTATGGAACTTCGAGTAAATTTTACTTGAGTATTACGTTATCTATTGTTCTTCTCGTTACGTGCGTTTTTAAACGTGCCTTTTTTAAACGTGCCTCTTTAAAAAATTTCTCGATAAAAGTCCTTCGGAATAAATAACGTTATTGATGATTCGTCGAATTTCACGCGGTTAGTGTCGTTGGGTGCTGTTTGCTGCCGTCATTGCTATTCGTGTCTACCTGACCTGGTGTCCTCGGCGTTCTATCCGTTCCGTCTGTTTTTTTAATCTTCTCCAAATCGACGTAATATACGTGCCGTGCAGCGTAGCAGAGCATCATCATCTCGATCAGCATCAGCGCGTTGTATGTCACTGAAATCGAGAACAGGATAATTATGAAACGAAAATATACGGTTGCATTACATTTAAATTAATCTATTATCAATCGAAGGATTTATTAAAATTGTGAAACGTTTTAAAGAATTTATATTAATTTTATAACTATTAAAAAAATTTATATATTATTTTAAATATAATATGTTAAAAAAATGGACATATAATATGGTTTGGAATTGATGTGATTTCATGAAACTGATATGATTTTAGCAGAATATTAATAATAATAATTTTAATCAATAATAATTAAGTATAAAATATTAATTTTAATGTATAATAATATAAAATATAATACAACACTAATATCTAAAGGACCTTTTTTGACAATGACATGCTGTCTCATGTTGGTTTGGGAAACCAACTTATTCATAACACGTATGTGTAACGAGTGAATTTTTATGATGGTCACGGATGCTGTGTGACGTCTCTTTTTTCAGTGAAACGAGTTTCTTTGTTACAGTTGGTCGTAGGTCCGTGGAGCAATGAAAAGTAGAGACGTATTTTAAATTCAGAGATGTGAACGATCTTATCATGCTGTTTGAAGAAACTATCGGACCGTGAAATCATCGTTCTTTTATCGGTCCGTAGTCAGAACGTGGCATAATAGTAAATTAAATGATAAACGGTCGGTATACGAGTAGCATAATCTACACAATTCCAGCAGCTTATTTAGCCTGTCAAATAATTTATTAATCGCCCGTTTCGCATCACATATACAGTCAATATGAAATGTAATGAAATTTTATTATTTTAATGAAATACATATATTATAATTAAATTAAAATGTGTTCAAAAATGTTGAACAATTTGCACTTTATAAATTTCTATAAGCAATTTAAGATTAATTTTGATTTATTACAAAAAAGTATCTATTTTATCATGGATATTTTTAATAATAATGTGGTACTAACAATTTTCAGTTAGAGAAATCTACAATAGTTATAATTATATTTATAATTTTTAATGTTTTTAAAAATTAATCTTAATCTTGTTTAGACAGAAATACATAAAACAATTAAACAGATGTCAACATAGATAGCAACATATTATTACCGTTGGCGTAAATTGCCGGGGTGAGGGGAGGGTTGCACGGAAATACACCCGCGGCGGGCAAAGCCCTGATAATACCTGACTGCAGCTTAGAGAACAACAGTACCAATTGTAATACCAGTGTCTTAAAATGTAACTTGGCCTCTGAAAACAAATGATATCGATCAGAAACTTTTATTCTTAATAATGTCATATAAACAATGGCAATGTGAACTTCTCGAAAATTACCGTGACAATCCTACGGATTATTCCAGTAATAATTATTATTGTTCGACGAATGTGTATGGGATTTAATAATTAATTTCTCTCGAGCGCACAAATTAAGATGTAGAAAGTTTCTTGGATAAAAGAGATAAATATCTACTAATTGAACTCATCACCGCGTAAAAATAAAATTGAATTACCGAAAGTATTATTATGTATAATGTATAAGTATTACGTATAATATATAAGTATGTATAATGTAAAATTAAATAAAATTAAGATTATCATAAAACAAGAGCATTAATAAAATATAAAGAAATATTTTTTTGGTTCAAGCATTTTTTCATTACGATAATATATTGAAATAAATAGAATGACATTACCTTGTGATAAATAAAACAGTTCAGTCTATTATTTGCGAATACTCTTATATTTTTATGCAATTTTTACGAGATAAAAGTAAAATGTTGATTGTTTATTATATGTATGTAGAAAGTCATAAGTATTGAAAAATAGACGGGTATATCGTGAGCAAATCTTTTTTAAAATGTACGGCAAAAGAAACATTGATTAAACATGCACACTCATTACCTGGAGCTGCTGTATGCAAAGTCTTTGTAGTGACAGTTAAACTGTATATCCCTAGAAGTATGCTGATTACCATGACTGGTTGAAGGAACACGCCGTATTGCGTGGCAAGCATTGGATCCTCGGCTCCCATGTAGAGCAATACGAAATAGAGAAGACTCTGAAAATACAACATTTTTTACATTAAATTTTCAAAGATTTTTAATATTCCTTATCATTCACCTTTTAAGTATCACAAGTATCAAAGATTTTTAATATTTCTTATCATTCATCTTTTAAGTATCACAAGTATCAAAGATTTTTAATATTCCTTATCATTCACCTTTTAAGTAGCACATAAATATAATGTATACATATGTATATATGTGTACATATATATATATATATATATATATATATATATATACATATATATTTATATGAATACATATATATAAACATAAACTTTTGCTATATGTAACAATATATAGCAAAAGTTTATGTTTATATGTATATTAATCACATTTTTATTAAAATTAGTTAAATAACTAAGTGTGTATTTTAATATATTTCTTGTATCTTGAATATATTTGTTATTTGAAATTCTGCAGAATAGTACATTTAATTCTTGAATATCTTTTCTCTGAAATATATTTACTTTTGTAAAAAATAATTTTATTTAATTCAATTCTGGAAACATACGTATGACTTTTCCATACAAAACAAATTACACTTTTATAGATCCCATATATAAAAAATTATAAATATTCTAGAAAAAAAGATATTAAAAAGAAATATATATTTGAATTTAAAAAATTAATTTGCTTCATATATCAAAAGTTGTATTTGCTTCAATAGTTAAATGCTGTCAAAAGCAAAAGTTTTAATAACAAAGGAGAAATTAAATAATGTAATCAATTTTAATCAATTTAAGTATAATTAATGCGACCATGAATGAAAATACAATAGGTGTGGCTGTATTTTAATTGTTCTCTACATTGAGAAAATTTAAATTAATGCTGTATGGTGGACAACAATTGATTTTTATAAATTTTAATTAACTTGCGTGGTGATTATAATAGTTATTTAAAGTGAGTAAAGTGGTAATCGAAGCGTGAAGAAGAGAGGAAAAGGGGAGATCTATTTTTTACCTGCGCGATAGGAAGCTGTAGAGCCAGGATTCCTATCCAAGACAAATTGGTGTCGGTCATTTGAAGGTTCGGAAAGGGCAGACAGGGCCAGCAGCAACAGGGCCCGACTCGTAGCATCAACATTGGCGTCTCGCTGATCTTCCGGCGACCGACGTCCAGCAGAAGAAGATAGAGCCGATACAGCGAAATCATTAAGAAAATCTGAGTTACCGCCTCCGATAGTAACTGGCCCCTATTGAAAGTCAGACAAACGTCATTATTCTTGCAAGTTTTGTTGAATGAGCATTAGAGTAATGAGAGTCCTTGGAAATTATTATTATTGATTGACAAATTGAAATTGTTGTATGAATAATAAAACCTGGAGAGAGAGAGAGAGAGAGAGAAACGTAATAAAATATACTTTTATTAATTTTTTCAATTTATGATGCTTCACTTTATGATTAATTATAATTACGGAAATATATATACGGAATATAAAACATTACTTTTTTTATATTTAATAACCTACATAAATTGATAATAATGCAGGAGATAAAAGATGAATAAGAACTCTTGTGCAAGTGATAACTTTTTTAAGCAAGTCATTGAATCAATATTTAACGTATGAAACATAGAACGCTATTAAAATTTCATTTTAAAAGGCACTATCGTTAACAATGCAAACATATTCGCAGTTGCCAGATAATATGGAAATGATGCGTCAGATTGATAATTCAAGTTGATAAATAAATGAGCAACGTGAAGTATGTTTGAAAAGAATTATCATGGATATCTGAATAAACTTCTGTTTAAACGATCTATAACTCGCAACTGTACAGTGTACAGTTATAATTTTATTTATTGTATATTCTAATATATATTTTATATTATATATTCATTCTATTCTTTCTCTCTTCATTTTTCTTTCTAAAATAATATTTTTGTATATTATAGTTATTTTTTGTTTAAAGAAAAAAATTTAAAGTTATTTATTCAGACTTTTATTAAAATATAGAAATTTATTTTTTATTTAGTCACTCAAATTCTTCAAATTTTACTTCTTTATTTTTAAACGTGTGTTAAAAAAATATTTTTCTAAAAATTTTTATTTTATTGTGGAGAATAACATGTATATATTACGATTTAACAATAAAATATTTGTGAATAGGTAATTTTTATATATGCGTACAATTATGAATAGAATATTAATTATGAATATTCTATCTTAAGTTACAGATCTAAAAGCAAGTGAAAATGGTACAACGCTTAAGTTTTTCTACACTGGTAGCAAGTTTCACTTATTATTTCGTTATCTTTGTTAAATAATCGTAATACTTTACTTTTTACCTTGGTATCGCAATCGCCATAAGACTGCAAACGCTTGCGACAGGGTATACCGATAGGATTATAACGGCATTTGTCTTATAAAATTCCGAGTCTTTTTGGGAGAGGATATTGCGACAAGCATCAGCGGTGAAGTATATTGTGATGACCAAGATTATTGAACCGACGCTTAGCAGTGCAGTACCTAATGCATCTAAACCTGCAAATTGAAACAATTTAAATAATTAATAAATAATAATTGTTTTATATAATAAAAAGCTTTATGAGACTGATTAACAATTATATATATATATATATATATATATATATATATATATTAATTTTTCTATTTTTAGTAAAAAAATTTTTAAAGTAATAGTTTAATGTTATTGCGTCTAATTAATTTTATTATAAATTAATTGTACATATGTATAAACAGTATAATTTATAAAAATATTAATATGTACCATTATTGTTCATCATCATTTTTATTTAATTGCGCTATAATTATTCTTTTTAATTTTAATTTTAATTTTGTTGAGAACGAAAATAAAGTTATTTGCACATCGAGAGAATGGATATAAAAGATTCTGATGTCATTAACTTTGTTATGTATTTATATGACATGCGCGTTTTTAGCGTGAATTAGAAACAATTATCGTTTATTTTCTTATCTTATCGATACTGATGATAAAGATGATGAAGATATTTAAATTTTTTATAACGTTATTACGGTTACATCAATATTGTGAGTTAGAAAGCTAATGCGAGCAAAGATGCCGCACAAATAATAGATTGAGGACAATTTATCGTATAACACTTTAAAGCGGATACATTTCTACATAATTTCAATTTACATTATCAATTTCAATTATCACTTTAATCTGTTCAGTGTTATCGCATATCTGTCTGGAAGGAAATTCTCGTGAGATTTATACCAAGAAGCAGTTATCTAAAGAAGACGATAAAGAAAATTAATTAAAGTGTTAACAGATGTCTAAAAATAATTTGACATCATATTTATACATATATTTTAAGCACAATTGGGAGATTATCATCTAAAAATAGAAGTTTACATGTACATTTAATGTATGTAAAAATAAATAAAAAGTTACGTAATTATATATACTTTAAATAGAAGTACATATAAAAGAGTTATATAGTCACAATATGGATCTGCAATTTACGATGCTTATCAAGTTTGCCGTCGCGCTGTTTAACTTGCTCGTTCAATAAGCTTCGTAACGAGTAGTATGAATTATACAATTATTTGCGAATTATACACAATTGTGTGTTAAACGCGTAGTTCGTAAAAATAATCGCTCAAATTATCTTCCGCCTCGAGAAGTGTATTTTATTTACATACATTATTTATACTTCATACATTTTATTTATATTTGTATTTCTTGTATGTTGTAAGTACTTATATTGCAGTTGTTTATCTTTACGTAATATTTTCATGATCGAAAGGAGCACAAAAATTTGCTGCTACCTATTTATCTTCTTCTATTAAATCTACGAATATTTCCGGTATGTGTACTCGTACACAGGTACGTGGGGGCGTAAAAGTAACAAGTACTCTTCACATAAGTTTATACGTTCGAGAATTTTCGAGGATGTTCAACTCGCGCGAATAAGGTCTCGCGTGTACCAGACGAACTTGAGTCCCAACTTTCACCGATGCGCTTACGTCGCTCGATGCAGGCGTACCTGCATCGTACATGCAACGCGATAAATTCGCTTTCGTAAAAAAAAAAGAACAACCGTGCATTAATATAGCCTGTGTTCCAAAATTCACCGCCGCTGAAAATCTGTAGTAGTAACACGTAGCGTAAATTGTAGATTTTCATCGCTGGTGGTGTATTTTGGAACACAGCCATAATATATTTTCGTACACATGAATTGCACGAAACTGTTGCATTCGTTACTATTTGCATGAGAGTTATTTTACTCGAAAGAGAAGCCATTTGTGCGGCATTGGAATACCGACTTTAATGCATTGATATTTCTGTTACGCGACTTCTGTGTTGCTCCAAACTCGGAATACCTGCCTTAGATACGTAACTCACTTTCTACTATCATTATAACAGTATCTTGAGCGAGTTCAAACCTTTAACGTTATTTACTGTGCAAAGTCACAACGGATATGTTTAAAAAGGGAATTGACAACAAGTGAGTCGAGGTAATCAGGTGATGAGTCATCGCAATAATTGTTCAGTCATCAAATCCGCAATTATCACAAGAGCATTCAGGAAATAAAAAATTTCTCGCAATTTAGTAATTTAAAATAACCGCGGAATTATTCAGCATTTAACAATTAATTTGCTTTATTTTTCTAATATCTTTAAAATAATTATTCTTTTATTTAATGAACTATTAATTGTTTTAATCAATAATTACTAGTGCCTGACATACAAATGAAATTTATAGTTAATAAACAAATCTGCTAAGCATTATCGGTAGGAAATATTATTATTACGTTAAAAATTATTGATTCTATGATTAGAAAGTTCTTCAGTTTATTCTGAGAATATTATTTATTCCTGACCTTATATCTTTCAAAAGAGAAAATCCCAATTCTGTTAACACCATGCTTTATCGGCGGGATTACCACACCGTTATCCGGATGTTGTCGAGACTCACTTTCTACGAGTTCGATAGCGGAGGGCACGTAATTCGGATTGCAGCTAACATCCGCGTGAACGGCGAAGTTCTCTATGGTATTGTCCATGGTTGCAGGGTGCTCCACTGAATTCGACGAAGGGAGAATTGTCGTCTCGCAGCACTCTGCCGTCCGTCACTCGCGAGTTTGACAAACTCGAAAGGTGCACTCGCGAAGTAGTCTCACGAGTGAATTCACGAGGGGGAGAGAGAGACGGTCGCGGCTGCGGACAGTGAGAGTGAAGTCCCCACTTTTACCTGTGCCGCTACTGGATTGCGATGTTGTAATGAATTATCACTTGCAAAAAAGCATGTATGTACGCTCGTGCGCGCAAGGTAGATAAATAGATAGATGGATAGATTGAGATAGAGGCAGAGAAAGAGAGAACAATTTCCTTTCCGCAAACTTTCTCTCTTTTTTTTGCAATAGTTTTTAACACATTCTTACACACAAAATAGACGAAATATTAATTAAATAATAATTTAGCAATTTTTAGCACACTCTATTGACTCTATGTATAGATTAAAAAACAAATAAGGATATATAAAATATCTTATTACAAATAAATACTTTAAAATTAAAATAATATGATATTAATAATATTATTACAAATTATTAGAAGAAATTTTATTATTAAAATTATAAAAATTATTAGATGTGAGTTAGGATTAGCAGAATTATATTAATTTCAAAATTATTAAAATTACTAGATTGAAATATTAATATTGTTGGATTAAAAATATTATTCTCTTAAATTATGTGTAACTTATAAATTTGGGATATTTGTATAAAAGAAAAATTTATACGTGAGGAAACGAAAGCAGAGAGAAAAAATTTATGTTAAATTCAAAGCGTACTTTTTCTAACAATGTAATAATCCGTTTTTTTTTGCATAGAACTATAATCTTTTTACATACTCTATCTATATCGTAACCTTGATCGATAATGATACTAAGTAGGTCAGATCTTGATTATATAAAATACAGTGTATTACATAATTTGATCATTTTAATATTTAATTTTTGTACCGGTTGACACACTAAGAAATACATTTTGGTATTTAAAGTACATTAAAATATTTTTTTATCGGAGAATGCTATACGTTATAATATAACTTGAAAGTGAATGATTGTGCAATTATAAGTGATTTGACTATAATAGTTTACGCAGGAAAATGGAATTATTAACTCGTACAATGTCATCCACCGTTGGCGTGACTGAAAATGCTGATCATCTTAATTAACATATGTTAGCATTGGGCTTTGTCGCTTTACATTCTTATTTGATAACTTTGTTTGATAACTTCAGAATAGGAAACTTTTACAGATTCATCTTATTTTACTTTAATTTTATTACATGTAAACTCAATGTTAAATTATTGTACTCACGATGTTTTATACGAGTTATGAGCTTTCAAAATTTTTCATTTTTCAGTCGCGTTATCAGTTGAAAATTTATGTCGCAATATTTTCTGACTTACCGTTAGTAACTAACCAGCAAACGCTGGTTAGCGGTATCTACTGGTCTAACTGCAGTCTGAAAGAAAGCATTGATCTCCACGTATCTTCGAACGATATGTCCGTTACCGACTGTCGCGCGCTAAACTAATTTTTCAATCATATAACGTTCACAAATGTGAAAATGTGAAAATGTATATAGAAAAATTGCTATGTCTATGATTATATTATTTTTTGAAAATCAAGATTTTACGTTATAAGAATATCTTTTTTGTATTATTTAGATCACACATTTTTATGTTTCTTTAAAATACATTATTTTATTTATATACTAAAAGTAAGATTTTTTTTAGCTTATGTATCTATTTTTGTCCACTAATAATTTTTTAACGGAATATAAATTGAAATTTTACATTTTCCCGATTGGAAGTAACTTGAGAGATTTGAAGAATCTTTTGAGAATTTAAACTTAAATTGGGTGTGGGATAAGATTTTGTCTTTTTCTAATTTTAAATCAATAATTTCTTAACGGATTATAAGGCATTGAATTTTGAAGGTTTTGCGAAGATTTAAAGCAGCTTTATTGAAAAGCTGAAACTTTATCTTGATAAGAAATATATTTGCAGGTGTTTTGTAAAAACTATTGCATATCTTTTTATTAATGGAACATGGAATATACATATATGCTTGATAATATTTTAATGTAATTTTTCTACTTTGTATTTTTGAATATCAAATTTTGCAAAAATGGATATATTTATATGTAGATTCTTCGAACTTATACTTTTTTCTGTACAACTGAACGTTATACATCATGAAGGTCGTATCGGAATATTAAACGGAAAACTTTCGACACGTCCGATTTGAAGAATTTACATTATATATTTGCAATACGTTATCAGAACACGCGGATAGCATGAAAAATTTCGGCAGGTCGCTGCAGCGCTATTGAGAGAAAAATTGGAAACCAGAGAAATGATTGATGGCCTGTTCGAGAGAGATGCTGCAGTTTCGATTCATATTCAGTTCGTTAATATTTTTTTTCTTCTCATTTTCGTGCAGTCCCGAAATACCGCAGCCGAATTCAGTTGCGATGTCATATATTTTAATTAAATAAAAAGTTAATTAGTAAATTTAATATTTAATAATCACATTATTAAAATAAAATAATCGTAATTTCAGAATTTCTTAATTTAAATAAAGGAATAATAAATGAGAATTAAATATATTTAAAAAAGTAAAATATATTTCTTAATAATTATGTATAAATTATAAGATACAAATTAAAACACATATTATCATTTTTCTTCATTAAATTCCCTTAACATTGTACGTATAAGATATTCTTAAATTATCGAATTCTTAATTAATTTAAAAGAAAACAACTTAAATTAAAGAGAAGATAACAATCTTATTATTCTTATATAAGAATTATAAGGATAGCTCGTTCTCTTGTTGATAAAAGACTTTGTAAGCTGAATTGATAATTAATTCATAATCCCGAGAAGCGATTTCCCCGAATTTAATTGATTCGCCAGCCACGTGTCGTTTCTTTTTCGATTTTCTGATCATCATTTGGCGACGACGACGGGATGGAATGCGTCCTTCTTAAAGACCAATATCGGCAAAGTCTCATCTCGCCGGGGGAGAAGCTTAATAAATGCTTTTCCATAAGAAGGGAAAGAGGTAAATGCGACAGCGGTTTTAACCAATTTTCATGACGCGGTTTTCTGCCAACTGGCTTAACCGTTGTGTTTCACCTAAAACGACGTGAATGATATTATAGATAGGATGTTATCGGAAAAGTTGGACGACAGAGAGAGGGGGGGAGAGGAAGAGCGATTGCGATCGATTGAAGGGCTTGAAATATCGGATAGATGAATCTCGAAAACCCCCCGAGTTCGCGAAGAAGCTCTTCCCAAGACGGAGAACCTTTCGGGGCTCGTATGTGTGACCTTGGGTTGATGGAGATGGTGGGACGAAAGGGGTCGATTTCTTGTAGATTAAGCGCATGCATGCGAAACTGCTTTCTCTACTGGCAGTGCTGTTCGTGAGCTTTTTAAAGGTTGAAGGGTCTGTTCGCGAAATTGGCTTCGTTAATGCATATTGATATTGACATTACAAACTTTATTCCGATAAAGATATACATGTATAATGTATACATATACATTGTAAGAAAAATATACATGCATGATAAAAATTATTTAAAGTGTACAATTGTATGTTTATAATATAATAAATACATGTATATATAATATCAAATATTTATAGAAAGTAAATTTATTTGTCATTATTTTTAAATATCTACAGATTTATATTATATATATATATATATACATACATATACATATTTTTAATTATAATATAAATTTGTTTGTGTGTATGTGTTTGTTAAAATATATATATAATAAATAAGAGATTAATATTTTTTTATATAAAATATAGACAATTGTTGACTTCAATCAATCTCTCAATAAAGTTTCTGATTGACAAGTTTGACAAAGAAAAAATGAAATAATAACAAATTTTTTGAATTATTGGATTTCCAACAAATGTAAAAAAATTTTGTGAGTGTGAAAAGAAAGAAAATTTTTGAGGAATTATCTTAACCTTATTGCCAGAACAGTCACGTTAGAGTAAAAAGATGTGAGTTGTCATGGCGAGAATGGAAACGAATACAAGAAGTTCTACTGGATCCAAGTCACGTTTAATCTTTTGAGAATTATGCATTCCGTCACCTTACTATTTGTGGAATAAGAATATATTTGCGAAATTGTTTGCTCCAATTTGACTGTTCAAAAAGATCGTGAATACTAATACTGCGCGATATATTTTTCTTTATTCACATTTCTTTCTTATTCATATATTTTCTTTTGCGTTTGTTGTTTTATTTCTTTTTTACTTAATTGTGTTTTTTATTATTTATTAATTATTTATTCTCTTCTTCATATTTTTCATAATTAACATCGTATTTATTCAACATTTTTGTTTTTTAATCAATTATTGTAAAAAATTATTGTGATATCACTGTCAATGTTATTACTATTTTTATTGAATTATGTTTTATATAATATTTTTAAACGCAAAGTTTGTACATTAATTTAATTTTACTCGCAAATATCTAATGAAAAATATATTTATTACGCCACAAAGAAGTTATAATTATTTAACGCTGGAATTTCATAATAAGTTTACATTGAATGCAGTAAGCTAATAATACAGGCTTTTGCGCGGATAAAATTTTCGTATCCATGTTGTCATTATTAAATTCATCATTTAACCTTTTATGCTTCTAACATTCGAAGCACGATATTCAACATAGCAATTTTTTAGAGTTCTTTCTAATATTACTCTATACATTACTGTATAGTTCTTTGAAAACTTAGGTTGATTGATATTAAAATAAGATATTTAACGCTGGCTTTACAGCTATATACTTAATGTGGACCACGGGTATTTTGTCGCGTTCGCGGAGATGTGGCAAGATATTAAGTCGGTCATAGATGCACGACCAGCCTTGACGTGTATAAAAGTGGCCTTTACACTGGCGATAAATATTGAAATCGTATTGATTTCACTCACGAATCACTCTCTTGCTCTTTACCGCCGTTGACAAGCACGATATATCAACATTATTAACAATAATAATTTTATTTTTTATTTTTGTGACATGAAGATATATATATTTTAATTTAAAAAAAATACTCTGTCCCATTTATCTCTATTTCTAGTTAATAAAGACTGGCAGAAAGTGAAAATTTGTCTGCATTCTTTATAACTTGTTATTCTGTATTTAA